GACGTGTGGGTGAAGTTTGGTAGTTTTTGAACCGCAGATCTGTAAGACGGGGAGTAGGTCCATTAAAGTGAATGAATTGGCTGCACGATGTGAGAGAAAATAACGCCGTGTGTGGAAAAATATTTGGTGAATATTGCGATGGTGCCAAAACTTTTTTTCACTTTTTAAGGCAACACTTTACACATGGGAGAACATTGTGTACAAAACACTACAAACAAACAAACTTGACATCCTTGGGTTCATGACAAACACAGGTAGCTGCATGTCCAGAAGGGGACTCTTGACAGATTCAGTTTGTGAGGTGGGATTTGTCGTGTGCAAACAGTTTCAAGTGCGATTGAAGTGCTGTACTTTATATGCAAACTCTGTGTGCAACTCTCTATCCGGCGTGATCTGAATGGCCTGTGTCGATCTAAAACCTGTTCACCAGATAATTCACATAGATTGAGTCAAAGGGTATCATCTTGCAAGATGGCTGCTTTTATGAGTTCTTAAATAGATTGTCACCCTCAAATCTCAGTCATGGCAGCATTGGACTGGTCTTACATGTAATCGGCTGTCTTCCTATTTGGTTACCTAGAAGTAATTAATTCTTTTCGAAGCTTACATGCCTGCAGTCTTCAGAAACATCCTGACACATCAAAAACATAATGTCTATATAGTTTGCCGTCTTGTCACACTACACCTGCTGCGCCATCTATTCTGCTGGATTTAGTCTCCTGAATTCTCTTTCACTTTAAAATAACTCACCAGAGCTCAGTTTTGAATGACTTCGAAGAAGCACATATTGCCCCTTGTGCTAATATATTTTTTCCTTACACAATCAGACAGTTACTATTGTGGATTTGAATGTATTGTCATTATTTGTCACAATGAACATCATGTATTATTTAGTAGATGAGTAAACCTTCTGTTTAGTGATTTCTCATTAAGAGCGCTCTCTCTCTCTCTCTCTCTCTCTCTCTCTCTCTCTCTCTCTCTCTCTCTCTCTCTCTCTCTCTCTCTCTCTCTCTCTCTCTCTCTCTCTCTCTCTCTCTCTCTCTCTCTCTCTCTCTATTTATTTATATAATATTAATTAGTATGCAAACCTCTGTGGACAAGTGCCCCATGTATGTAGGTATGTGTGTGCGCGTGCTTGTGTGCAGCTCTGTGCAGAGAAAATCTTCCCTTCCGTGAACAGCAGTCTTGAGTTATCTTATGTCCAATCGGCAAGGCAGCATGTGTATGCTGCAGTCATTAATCACACACCAAGCGCATATGCAGTGTGGCGACGCCATCTGAGGAGTTTTTTTTTTTTTTTTTTTGAAAAGCAAGGCAAGTTAACTGTGTTTACTTGCCGTCAAATATCAAGAAAATGTAACTGCGCCTGTGATACTGTAAAGGAAAAGAGATATCATCCTAAGTTAATGTTTTTCTGATACATTATGCAAAGAAAAAATCTTGTAACCTTGCTTGCACACACTAGATCCACAGGGACCAAAACGGGGATAGAAGTGGAGCGCAAACTAGAACGCAATTGTTGAGGTTACAGTACTCGTCCTTTTTCCTTATGTGCGTCTTATGACAAACAAGAATTAAGCTAGATAACAGAAAAGTGAATTTCACAAATTGATTTTAATGAAACTGTGGATGTCTTTGAAACACAGCATTTTCGGGGATTCTTAAATCTCAGTTTGAAACCAAAACTATTTCAAAAGCCCGCCCCATGGAGCTCAGGCTGGCAGAATCAATAGCATCGCTTAACACCTATTCCTATGTGCTTTTTATGTTTGAGATTGATGATTCTCTTTCATCTATTGCTGCTTTTTGACACCATCATCTTGTGTGTGTGTGTGTGTGTGTGTGTGTCTGTCTGTCATTTGTGAAGTGTTAGTTTTTTTTAAAAAGTCCATATAAAAATAAATTTATAATCTTGCAGATGTGTAGCCTTTTTAGTCTTCCGTTTGTCCGTCTGTGTCATCTTCTTTCACTGCCATCTGAAAGCCCCCCTTAGACAAACCTGTTCTGTCATTCTCAGAAATAACTCTTATCACCCAGAAAATAGGAGGACACACAGTCTTTATGGGGAGATGAGAGAGGAGAAAGGCCTTGAAGAGAGCAAGATGAGCACGGGGGGTACAAAAACAGTGTGAACTTACCCGGCAGACACATTTGTCATCTGTGTTTGTACATGTGGCTGTGTCCAAAATCCCCACTCTTTCACTACTCCCTACCCCCTATGTAGGGAGTTGAATGTAGAGGACTATATAGTGAGTTATATTGTATTAAAACAACACTTTCGGACACTATTCTGATCGTTATTTCGGCGCTGTTAATTACGTCATTGCCGTCTGACTATCAGTTTTTTCTATCAGGCAATGCATGATGGTATATACGGCTTGGTTAGTAACCATCGGTTGTACACTACTTTTCAAAATGCATTCTGGGATACATTGAGTGGACTAATATGGTATAATAATTATCACTATACATTCGGACAGCACTATAAATGGCGAGCTCACTATATAGTGAGTAGTGGGTGATTTCGGACACTGCGTGTTTGTGTTGAATAAGCCAGTGTGCATGCATGGCAGGGAAATATCCAGTTGTGACTGATTTAATTTTCCCCAGAGATTTGACAAGTGTATAGGAACACTTATTGCTCTCATAAAGTAAACGGATAAGCTGAATAAAGGTAAATAAATGCCTTATTGATTTCTGATCTTAAATCCACATTAATCCCAGAGGAGGGCTGGATTAAAGAGGAGCAGAATGCTCATGCTCTGAGGGAGTAGGGACTGAAGATTGTGCATTTTTGATGTTTTGTTTGTTAAAGGAAAAGTTTAAAACTTTGGGAAATGCACTCGCTTAACGGCAAATCGCCATTTTAAGGGAGGCTATGCGCTGGATCATTTCTTGGTTGAGTCTCCAAGAAGTTGCTGGTGTACAGACATGAGTGATATCAGTCTTCTCATTTAACTCTTGACGACCAAATTTGAGAGTGTGCTTTGATATAATTTTTCTTTCTATCCTTTTTTTTGTTGGTATTTTTAAGACGGTCCTGGACATACTGTAAGTCTTACATTAAGCAGTGATAGGCCGATTGTATGTTCGAGGTCAACATGGCTCAGGGTTAGCCCTCCATTACTAAGACTGCTGGAGGATTTAGAAAATGTCAGCGCACTTTGGGTCGTGAGGATCAGGAGGGGATGTGTTTATGTGTGGGGGTGTGGGGGAATGTGGAAAGAAAAGAAATCTCTAAAGAGTAGAGAGAATGTCTTGTTATTTTAGAAGTGGGCAGGGATTTGGGTTTTTGCCCCCATTTAAGACGCTTCCAAGATGAATCACCTCAACAAAGCTTTTTTGCTGGGCACCCTCTCTCTCTCCCTCTAACCATCTAGCTGGGCCACTTCCTAGCATAGCCTTCCTTGCCCTACATTTTTATGGATACGGTCAATAATCATGTTTATTCTTCAGCGACGACAACACCACTAAGAATACAGATGGATATTAAAGACGTCAATTAAAGTTTAATCAGTGCTTTAACGTGGCCTTTCCACTGTCGAGCCTAGTCAGTCAGTCTGTCCGTCTGGGCATGATTGCACACACTCACAGCAACGACAGCGTGTCGTTGCCATGATTAACTGTCATCGGGTGGTGATGGAGCAGTGGATAAGACACCTGCCTCTGGTGTGAGAGACCCGGTTTAATTCCCCACTGCGACACATCCACCAATGTGTCCCTGAGCAAGACACTTAACCACTAGTTGCTCCAGAGGTGCGCGACTCAAACTCTAACTCTAATTAATAAATGTAATGTAATGTTGGTCGATGGTGTTTAGCCCTCTGCCCTTCAATCTCTAAATATTCTCATTTTAACAACATATAGACATTTCTTGTTATAACAAGATACCGAACAACAAGTCGTCGTCATCGATTTCTCCAACACTTTGACTTATAACCAAATACAAAAAAACTAATGACATTTCCATCAGCCTCACCTGTACTTGGTTTTTAGTGCTTATTAAAATGTGACTATATTTCACAGTGAGGTGAAAAGTTGTCGTGGAGTGTGAGGGTGGAATTAGCATAGAAGATGTCCCCACAACTTTAAATTGTTTGCGTGGCATCATTTTGGGTACCCTACCCGATGGAAACAATAAAATCTGTCATTGAAGATTTCTTAAAAATAGAGTTAAAATAGTGTCTTCTCTCGTTCTCATGAACCCAATATCGTATATAGTCTCCTCTCCTGAGCTAAGTGTATCGTCACACCCCTGCTTGTTGGTAAATGTTAGCACGCTAATATGCTAAACTAGAATGGTGGACATCATAAGCATGCCTTCTATCTGGAAGTTGCAGGCTCTTTGACTGTTAAAACAGTTTCTTGTGTGTTTTTGAGGTAGAAATGTGTATTAAGTGCAGTAAGTATGAATTCTGTAAACATATTCTGGTCATGGATCATTGCAGCCTCTCTGTCTTCTGTGGTTTTGGGCAAGCGTCCTTATGGGTGTTGGTGTGAATGATGGAACACTGAGCCTAAGCAGCCCAACACTGCAGCCTTAATGCCATTAGCATGGCTGATTGGGCAGACAAAGTGCTGAGGTTAGTCAGCCTGGCTGTGCATGATGGAAAGGACAAGACATTGCTAAGTCAGTGAAACAAATGAGGCAACATAGCTGTAAGCAATGTCAAAACACTACTTCCCTGCTGTTCTGTAGCATTTTATATTTCTCCGGGATCCTGTTTAACTGTACTTCTCACGTTGTATTCCCTCTCTACGTGCCCTTGAACTCACGTCACATTCCGTCATCTAACTCTCTCCAATGCTAATGCTTTGCTCCAATTGCTCTGTGGGTTAACTCTGGCATTGTGTTAGCAAAGCAATCAGGGAAACAGGTTTATTGAATTTAGTGTGCAAATCACAAGGTCTGTAACAAGAATTGTTCCACTAATGAAGTTTTGTTCTCTATTCCTTCATTCCCCATGTCTCTCTCCTGTCCCCCTCCGATCTGACTGTAGGTAGTGGTGTTGCAGCAGAAGGATGCCGCTGGTGAAGCGCACTATCGAGCCCAGGCACCTGTGCCACACGGTTCTGCCAAGGAACATCAAGAATGAACTGGAGTGTGTGACTAACATCTCCTTGGCCAACGTCATACGCCAGCTCAGCAGCCTCAGTCAGTACCACAAGGACACACACATTCTGTCATTCAGTTATTTAAATAGACACACACGGCACACATACTGTTCACGCACACCTCTGCTCCCTCTAAGTCAATTAGCTGAACATTCAGCTATTAGGGAGTGCGTCAGCTAATGCCTTCTTGTCAGTTTTCATTCTTTTCTGCTCATTTCCTGGAAATGTAAAGTACATTGCTTTGAAACATCAGAATATTCAGAGAATGACATGACAAGTTTGATAATTCTGTAAACCGTTTTCACAATTTCACACCGTTTATGATCAAATTGCACAGGACCCCGAATCAGGATTTTATTCAAAGTCTGAACTTCAAACCGATGCATTAGCTCGGGGGGACTAGTGTAGCCTGTCCAATAGCCTACACTAGTCACATTTTTTAGCAGTGAGACCCACATTTTAATGCCTCAGATTTCCAGACAGTCAGAAGAAGAAAAAGTGGGGATGCCCTGGTCATAGTTCAGTTATAAAATCCACGCGCACCATGGAGCGCCTCTCCCACCGGGGTTGCTGACAGCACTGTCAGCCGAAGAGTCAATCATACAGGATGGTAGTAGAGAAGGTTGTACCTGCGTTGGGTTCAAAAATAGTTTAGCCAACTTCACTGACAGTCAGCACCAGAGCTGAGAGTGTCGAAGCAGCAAACAGGCCCGAGTCTTGCTGCCCTCCGTTTCTGTTACGGTTAGTTTTGTGGTTAGGCCATTTCAGATAAGTCTCCTGTGCTGTTGCTCCTGAATTGCTCTGTGAACAATGACGCAGCTAAAAAAGAGGTACAGCTATGAAGTATTTAAAAATAAGCTTAATTTTATTGTGTTTTAATGACATATTTTCCCTATTTTTTACATTAAAATTTTGCCAGAAACTTAACACAAACCTAGATCTCCTGAACCTAGTTCCACATTCCCACAGCACAAGATATTTGGATAAAAATTGATTATGGTGAAGGATAAGACTCATGCCTTTGATGTGAGAGACCTGCATCCGATTCCCACTGTGACCCATCCACTGATGTGTTCACTGAGTAAGACACTTACCTTGCTCCAGTAGTATGCAACCTCTGACATATGTAGCAATTATAAGTTGCTTTAGATAAAAGCGCCAGCTAAATGTCTAAAAAATAACTATAATATTGAATGATACTATCAATGAAGATACTGCACATTGTGGTAATGGTTCCTTTGGTATAGTAAGAAATCCTGCTAATGGAAGATTTAAAAGATTTGAGATATTTGGAGTGTAAGATCCTAAAATCGACACTAGTGAAAAGCATTTTATGTAGGATATACAAATTCAGCACTCTTTTCTATTTTCTACAACAAATCCATAAATATTCTCCACAGTAAATCACTGAATTTTGGAGTATGTTTTGTTTGGCATAGTTCTAATGTAAAGCTTTGTGCTGTGAAGGGTGCAAAAACAGTGCATACTGCTCCATGTGGGCATGAGTCATGTGACATGAGTCCACTAAGATTTATGGAGGCTAAAAAAGCCTAATTCATTTCATGAAGGAAATGGTGGCCGACAATGGAAGTCGTTGCCTTGATTTAGTGAAGTTTGACAAAACCTGCATGGCTGGTACCATTGTAGCAAAAGTGTTTTTCTCATTGGTTTACTCCCCCTTCCCCAACTCTGGTATCACACATCTCCAGAACAGTTAGCCTCCATCGTGGGCACTTTTAATTTGCTGTGATTGCATCTGACAAAGTAGTTTAGTTTGCTGTTTTTTTTTTTTTTTAACAAAAGGACTACAAGTCCCCAGAGTCAGATGATGTGAAACGTAACTAACAGCTAAAGTGAAACCCAAAGAGAAATGAAATTTCTTATTATATTTATTCATTCCACACTATTATTTTTAACAGCATTTCTTTTTAACACTTTGTTGCTGATGTTAGTTGAGTATTTCATGATGGTTAAAAAAACTTATTGTGTGATGTGTGCATGTGCGCATGCAGGTAAATATGCAGAAGACTTGTTTGGAGAGCTGTTCAACGAGGCACACACCTTCTCTTTCCGGGTCAACTCCCTGCAGGAACGCGTGGACCGCCTCTCCATAAGTGTCACACAGTTGGACCCCAAAGAAGAAGAACGTGAGTACAGTAACTACATATGCATGCGCGTGTACACACACACACACACACACACACACACACACACACACACACACACACACACTGCACTGTCCCTCTTTCTGTCCTCCAGTCACACCGTCACCTCTTCAGTGTCATATGTGTCTGTAACTGTGACAAATTGGATGTGCAATTGTTGATGTGCGTGTGTTTGTGTTTGCACCCCCCACAGTGTTAACAGCGCAGCTATGAGGCGGTGTCATTTTTCACAACCCAATAGTACAAACCCCAGCCCTCTATTAGAGACATTTTGTGTTTCAGTTTGGCTGGATTTCTCCTTGTGAGGAGAAATTGGATCTGTGGTGAGCAATAATAAAAAGGAATGCGATAATCGTCAGGACTGTCAGGTAAGCCAGGTTATCCTGAGAGAGGGGAGGCGGGATGACAGGATAGCGTTGCTAGAGGAGAGTGCGGTGGGTGCAAAGTAAAAAAGGGAGAGAATCACAGCGGTATAATACCATGCTCCAAAGCGCCGTATCGATTTCCCATGGGCCAGCAGTATGTTTACGGCTTTGCACAATGCTACTCTAACTGCTTCCTTGTCACTGACACAGAGACAGTAAATTGCTCACTGGGCTGCACTCGCTACTTATGCCTCCACTGTGAATGCAAGCAAAGGCTGTGATACTCTTTACAAGGCAGTGAATTCTTTCTTAGTTTTTGCAGAATCATGAGTTTGTGTTTTACAGTTGAGGATCAGACCGGACCGTCCAGGTCCAGATTACTCAGATTGTTCATCCTAAACTTAGTTTTTGTTCTGTCCTCATTTTTTTTCCTGCTTCCCTCTTCAGAGGCTTCCCTCCATTGAATTGCTTTGCAGGCTTTTTTTTTTATGTTACCTGTCCTCTTCCTCCACCTGCCATTCTCTTTCTGCCTTGTCTTTCTCCTCTCCTCTCTACCACCTTCAAAGAATGGATAGTGATGTTTATCTTATTAGATACACATCTACAGATTTACAGGAAACACCAAAGTAGCAACAAAGCGATCTTTGTATCGATTTGACATAAGGCTACTTGTTCATATTCATGTGACATTTCTGTTTTTGGACACATATTGTGAGCGATTCTCCACGGCCTGCTGCATCCGCGCGTGTGGTCCTTGGTTTTTATCTCCCTTCATAAATAAGCCCCCACCCCCTCCTTTAGCCTCAAGTATTAGCTTGAGAGACAGTGGATAAGGATCAGCTCAGCTGCACTTTAAGTGAGCGGTGGTGTCGGGGTCGGAGGAGAGGAGGAGGGTAAGATAGAAGGATGGAGGGATGGGCGCGTAATACAGGGCACTGCAGCAAAAGCAGTGGAGTGTAAAAGGATTGTACCGCAGAATTTTCTGGGCCTCCTCTGCAGGTCCTCCACTCCGTTTAACTCTTCCGCACTCATGTAAAGCCAAATTAAGCTGTCTTGTAAATGGAAAAACCTGCACTCTTTATTTATTTTCTTCTCCCGACCACTATTCATTAAAGATTTGTAAAATCAGATGTCTATTATAGCGTGTGTGTGTGTGTGTGTGTGTGTGTGTGTGTGTGTGCCAAAACTTCAAGGAGAGAAGTCAGATGAATGTGACAGGAAGATGGACAGTTGTGGGAGGAGTTTAGCGAGGGGTTTGTTTCCCGTAAACGGCACCCCCACCCCTTCTTTCCCCTCAATCTCTCAAACATGCACCGCTGTTCACAGTTTAAAGTGTATGCTTTTAGAATTGTCTGTGTGGGTCTGTGTTCGGCATGTGAGGAGGAGTGAAGGCGAGGGGAATGAGTGCAGGCAGGGATGGGGCCATAAATCAGGACTGTAGAGGGATAAAGATAGGAGGATGGGGGTTGGGCCGGATGGAGGAGAGTGGAGAACACAAAGTATTTTACAGATACTATTACCAAAACCCCTCACAAAGCTTCTTTTGAAGTTCTTTAAAACCCTTAATGACCTGAGAAAATTTGGTGACTGACTGATTACACACTGTCCAACTTGCTACAAAATTTAGATTGACTCAAAAGCAAATTGCTGCAGAAATTGTTTCTGAATCACTGCTGAGTTATGGTTTGTATTGGACTTTTTCATAGTGTAGGATGATTCTGTACGTAGAATGAATACTGCAGTAATCATCACAGCATTATTTTTATATAATTGTTTATTTGTTAGAATTAATATTCATAGTCAAATGTTAAAACCTTGAATTCATGGTGATAGTAACAGCTGTATTCCATTTAATTATTTTAATTTTAATTTATTTTATTAAACTATTCTCTTTGTTCTGTTTGGTTCCTCTTTGGCCCCCCCTGTATCTCCCCACTAGCCTCTCGCCCTCTCTCTATCCCCCATCCAACAGTCATCTTGCAACTCTGACAATATAGGACACATACACACAAGATCAATTAATTTTATTTATTTTAATTCATGTATTTATGTTTATTTTTATAATTTTTTTGTTTTGTTTTTGTCTTATTTCCCAGTGTATGTCATGTCAATATTGTGTCTTTTGTCTTGCAATACAAAAAAAACTTGACTTCTCAGACATAATTGATCTTGATGTCACGAAATGACAAATTTTATTGAAAGGGGTGGCAATGGCACCCTGCGATGGACTGGTGGCCTGTCCAGGGTGTACCCTGCCTTTCGGGCATTGTCAGCTGGGATTGGCTCCAGCCCCCCGCGACCCTGTACACAGTATAAGCGATTGACGATGGATGGATGGGTGGGTGGCAATGGCGATAGCCGTGCGCCCTCTTACATATACAGTAATAGACTTGGTATAGAAAGACACACTGGAATGAATTGGGTTTTATCAGTCCACAGCTTATGGACACAGAGTGTAAGATGGTGGACGGCATGAAAGATGTTTAGCTGGAGGTCGGGGAGATGTGAGATGGAGAGATGGCCAGAGTGGTGCATGCAGTAGCACTGATGGGGCAGTGGCAGAGGTCAAAAAGTGCTTTATCACACGGATATATGCACATTCAATCTGAGCATGCACCCCCACTCACCTCACTCACACCCTACATACCCTCAAGCCTTCAAAGGTTATCATCCCTCGCTTTGCCCTTTAGGTCTCCACACCCTTTCTCCTCTTCCTCCTTTCCTGACTGATAACCCCCCCCACACACACACACACACACACACACACACACACACCTTCTCTGCTTTTGTTGTCCTCCACAGTCCACTCCCATCTCTCTGATTGATCTCTGCTCCATTGCATAGATGCTATTTGTGTGCTGTCAGGATCTTTTTCCCCTATCACTCCAGCCAGCCAAACTAATGGCCTATATCCCCTATTTAATGGCACCGTTATATCACTGCACTGGCTGCAGGCCATTATGGAAGGCCACAGAGCCACCCCAAGTCCCACTGGGCTCTAACTGTTTCTTTATGTACTCTATAGTCTCTTGCTGCTTCCCTCTTTTTCTATTAATCCTTTTGTGCCTCTGTTTCTATATTCCATAGGAGAATTCTTCTTCTATTGGCAATTTTCTTTGAGATACTTGTCTCTCACATGACTTCACATGACATCTTGATCTTTCAGAATTCACTTTTCTGTTTTCCTGCTACTTTTTGTTTTTGTCTTCCACTGCTTGTTAACCCTCCTTGATTCCCATTTTCTTCGGCACTTAGTACATAACTCTTCATTTTCTTTCTTTCTTTCTTTCTTTCTTTCTTTCTTTCTTTCTTTCTTTCTTTCTTAAGGTCTATTCAAATAAGCTTTACCCGGCATGTCTGCTAAACCACTTACTAAAGCAGTACCTGTACATACTGTGTATATAATGGATATTTGCTAAAACAACATCTCTCTGTTTCTCTGAATCCGTATTTGTTATTTAGTATGTTTGTTTTTCTCTGGGACTGGAAAGACTGTAGTGATGAGATTAGTCATTTGCTTAAAGGCATTTGTAATTTCAAATGATCGGATTTACAGACATAAACACATCCCAGAGACAGCAGAAAGGTCCACTGTTTTAATGTGCTTTCTTTTTTCACATATGCATATTGCATAAATCATGATATGGAATTACATATTCTGTGATAACGGGTTTTATTCTTATCGCCCGCTTCACTACATGTTTAGATCACACATCACACAGCAACCGAAGGGACTTTGGTATGACAAAATTCACGTCATGCAGACTCCAGCGATTCTGTGGATGCAGAAAGTTAAAATGTGTAATTTGTTTATCCAGAAGCATTGTGGGTGATGACCAGTAAGCATATGTTAGAAACACTGTGACAAAAGCCTTCCCAAAGTGATGAGGAGATGCATACAGTTCATCTACGTACTTCTTAGCACACAGTAACTGTAACACAATGGCAAAAAACTAATGTAATAGTAGTAGTACATGTACTTTATGTATTCAAGTCCTTCATACTGTAACATTCTGTCATACCCACAATGTAGGATTAAATTTATTCTTGCACTATACGCAACATGAAACATGAAAGACAGAGGACAAATGATAAACAAGAGAAAGAAGGAAAGGACGGAGTGTTTCAGGGCTGCAGGAGGAAGAAGTTAGGAGGGGAAATATGGGACAACATTTGCATTGAAGTACAACAGAAGAGAGAGCAGTGCCTGCATGCTAAACGGCAGCTTGCCCTATGCCTTTCCCTATCACCTGCATCTCCATGAGGGAGGGGATGAAAAGTGGGAAGAGGGGAAACAACTGAAGGAGGGGTGTGTGTGAGTGTGTGAGAGAGAGACAAGAAGTTCCTCACCCCTCTTTGGTTAAGGGTGTTTAAGCGAGATACTATCTGTCCTAAGAAAAAGATATGAGAGGTGGAGAGAGAAACTATCCACCACTCGCTTACTGATAAGGAGCTTCACAGACTGAGATCAGAGGCTGCTGCTGCAGCACCTGGTGCTGCTCGACCTGATACACTCACTCACACACACACACACACACACACACACACACACACACACACACACACACACACTCTTACAGCCTCACACTAACTCACTCGTTCACTGACAAACGGGTA